GGCCTGGCGGCGGGGGGCGGGGCGGGGCCACCCCAGCCCTGGGCCGCGGGCTTCCTGCCTTTCTTTTCGGGTCCCTCCTCCCTCTCCGGTTCTGGTCTTCCTTTCTCTCCCCCACCTCTCCTGTGGCGCTGGTCCCGTCCTGTCCGCTCCGATTTCGGGCTCCAAAGAGGGGTGTGGTGTGATTGAGGGAGGAGACCCTGAGCGAGACTCGGTGATGCTCTCTGGACCATTAGCGCCCATTAGGGAATAATCAGCGCCCGCCCAGGATGCTGGGGTTGGGCATTACCCAGGATCCACCCCCAGATCTCCTCCCAAGCTGGCTGGGGCCGGTCTCCACCTCCAGGCCAGGCCCTCTGCACTTCCTCTGAGTTTCTAATCTATCTTCATTGGCTGCCTTTTAAAATTAATTAAATTTATGTACCTGTACTGGGCTTGAACTTAGTGCCTGGGCACTGCTTTTTGCTGGTGAATTTGAACTGTGATCCTCCGATCTCAGCCTTCCGAGTAGCTAGGATTTCAGAGGTGGGCCTCCGACACCCATCTTCCCTCCTCTGGTTGCCTGTATTCCCATGCTGTTTGTTACCCACAGCACTTCCTTTGTTATTCCGTTACCTTCCTTGGCACCTCCTTTTCTCTTTGGGATCTCCTCTGCTCTGACTATATGCAGTGTCCTGTGACACTGTGGTGTCCTGGTCACTGGCTGTCACCACCTGCCCTATCCTGTACTGCCTTGACCTCCAGCCTGGCCTCACCCAAGCCAATCTTTACTCACAGGCCAGACGGTGCCATTGGGTCCTGGGCTGCAGAAGACCAGTGATTGGGAACCTGAGTGGGAAACTGAGGTCTCCAAGCTTCCTGCCGTTGAGGCCCTGGGCTCCATTTGTTTCCTACTCTCTCGCCTGGAGATTTCCCATTCTATCTCTCCAGAGTGGCCACCACGCAGCAGCCAGCAGGTCTGAGGTGGGCCTGGTTGCTGGAGAATGATCCCCCGCCAAAGCTGAACAGGTTCACCCACCACCTGTGCTTCTGCATAATCTCCATAGGCTGGGCTCAGGGAAACCAGAAATGGGCCAGATAGGCAACCTCTAGCCAGGCAGACAGACAGATAGATGGAGGAGGCCAGGAGCCTAGGCAGCATCAGTCAGGAGTTGTGAAGATATGGAGCAGCCATTCAGCCACAGCCTACCTAAGTGGCTTTTAGGGGTAGTGGACGGGGTGTGGGCACCCAAGGGACCATGGCCCAGGATGCTGCCCAGAGGCGGGCTCTGGGCATGGGTGGGGAGACCATGCCAAGGACACTGGAGAGGAGCGGAGGAGAGGAGGAGAGGAGAGGAGAGGAGAGGAGCAAGGACAGAGGGAAGCCTGATTCTCCTGTCCACATGGGAAGCTGTCTAGGCTGGCTATGCCTGGCCTCAGGGAGTCGGGTATGTAAGTCTCTGAATGCTGGGGGGCTGGGAGGGGAATCGGGTATGGCTGGGAGAGCTCGGGCCCACCCGCCCTGGCGGTGGAGAGCCTTACGGGGGTCTCTTCCCTCTCCACACCTCCGTGCCCTCAGCTGTCTGTCTGTCGGAGGGGTTATTCAGGTGCCTACACCCAGACAGACAGGAAGTGTGTGATTCTTGTCACTGGCTGTTCAGGGTGAAGCCTGGCAGTCACGCTGGAGGAGGGAGCAGCGGAGGGCTGGTGACCGACTGGGGAGGGGCGACCTGCGGCGGCCTGTTTAACGTAGGGCAGCTGACCACTGCCCAGAGTCCAGGGACCAAAGTCCTCGGCTCATTTGAAGGCCGCTCAGACCCCCGGCCAGCCTGGCACACTCGCGTGCCCATGGTCAGGGGGTGCTGGGGGCAGGATGGTTAATTCTGTGTAGGGCAGTGACCACACAAACCTCCGGAGAGGGGCGGGGCGCCGCGGTGACGGTGCGTGTGTATGTGTGTGTGTGCACACGCGTGCTGCGTCCCCTCCCCCAGGTCCTGAGCTCAGCTCTGGCTGCAGGAAGGAGTCCTACTGGGCCGGGGAGGGGGGGCGCGGGCCGGGCGGGGGTGGGGGAGGGAGGAAAGGCCCGGAGCCCCGTGTCCAGGCCGGGCCCCGCAGGTGTCCAATACGTGTTCCTGGACAGAAGGGGGCGGGGCCTGGAGGGGGGGGCTAATTGGGGAT